CCCCCCAGCAGACCTTCATTTTTTCCTCCAGGAGTGAGGTGGAAAAACCCTAGATCACCTTCTTGGATTCTTATTACCCAAGTTACCAAGAACACTGAGAGTGGCGTATGGGGAGCTTAGGCAATGAGCGGTTACCGCCGTTGCTGCGAGCTGGCAGGCCCTGCTCTCTGTGGGCCTGCTTCATTGGCGCCACGGCGAGCTGACCTGCACCATCCGTGGCTTGCCTCACTGCACACGCAGTCTCTTCCTGCCCATCTACGTGCGCAGCCTCCTCCTGAGCGGTTGTGACTGTTACGGCGTCCCAGACAATTTGCAATTATCTTTCTCTCTATATATAGATTGGCCAGAAATCCATCATATGACCATTCCCACCTGCAAGAATGGTTGGGAAATCTAGCTATGTACTTAGACAAAACTTGGGAGTTCTGCTGTTAAAGAGAAAATGGAAAGAAAGGAGGAGTGTCTACCACCTACAGATCATTTCCAGCCTTGCCCAGTATAAATAATTTAATGAATGTCCTTGAATATGTTTTGGGGTACATGTATATTTGTAGGATAAATTCTTAAAAGTGGAATTGCTGAGTCAAAAGATACGCTCATCTGTTATTTCAATGTTGTTAAGTTTGTAACATCTGTGTATACTTGCATTTAGAGCTTAAATGGCTAATTAGGGATAGAAATTTAGTGCATGGGATAATGTAATTTAAGTTGTAACAACATTCTCAAATATTTCTAGAGTGGTATATTGGCTTTTAGTGTGTCCAATCCTTGTAACACTCCTATGGGGTAGGGGAGGTGGTCATATTGTCACTGGATGAGGACCTGGCCTGGAGTGAGACTGCCTGAGGCCACTGGTAGTGTGTGGGTTCTTGACTTTGTGCAGGAAAGATTTCACAACACAAGTCCAGGTGATTTGGAGAGTATATTTATTAAAACTGGGGAGAGTGAAAACAAAGGAAGGACTTAAGGTAGAAGAAGCAACAGGAGAGAGCCTAGGGTGGTGTTCTGCTTTGGGTCCTAGAAACGTTAGAGGAAACAAGTGAGCCAAGGCAGGGCTGCTGTTAGCTTACTGGAAAGTCAAAGAAAAAGGGGATCTCGGAGACAGATTCAGGAGGTAAGCCTGGGAATAGCTACTGCTGCTGCTTTCCCCTGGTTGCAAGTCTTGTGGGGATTCTTAGAGTTTAGGAGAAAGGAAATAAAAAGTTCATGCCTGAGAACTGGCATGGGGGCTCTAGGGAGAGCCTGTGCTGATATCCTTTGTCTTGAGGATTTTACCTCTCTTTTGTGGGTGAGAATCTTAGGGGACAGTTTCAGCAGACTACTCATCAGCTTTTCAGGTATGTTTTTAATATGCTGATGCATCAAAATGAGTGTATAGGGGAGTTGGGGATTATTCTTTGGTCAGCTTCACTGTTTTACTTTTATCTTAGGTTTTTCTGGCTTTAATGGGGTTTTTGTTATTTGTTCTCCTGATTTCATCCATCCTTGAATTTGACTGGCACAAATGGCATTAACTGGGTCGGGGTCCTCTATCTCCCTGACCAGGGTGATTTAAGCTATGTATTCTCTGGTTTGAGAGGAGAGGTATACACCATTTGTTCTCAAGTGTCCTTGGTTAGGGATGATAAGGTCTTACGATTCACTAGCTGTCTGCAAGTTGTTGAAATTGTTTGGCCTTGTTTAGTTAACTTGTCTCAGGTTCCCCATTCCACTTGCTCAGGAATTTTCCTACCTTCTTACTATCCTGCCTTAATATCTTCATTGAAACATCAAGAAACTAAGGTTAAATAGATTAGGTTTTACTTAGTATCTTTTGACTGGGCCTAGGGTCCCAGTCTTCTGGCTCAAAATATTCTGTTTGTCTTATACCATTCCAAAGCTTACTCTTTGTGGAAAGAATAAATCCAGGACTGTGTTTTTACCAACTGAGATGGGGATTTAGGGAAAAAAGAATGTGACTTATATTAATTTTCTCTGTGTCCTAAAATAGTAACCAAGGTCATATTATATACTTGCGTTCATGGTTTGAGCAGGGGTGGGGAACCTTTTTTCTGCCAACGGCCATTTGGATATTTATAACATCATTTGTGGGCCATACAGAATTATCAACTTAAAAATTAGCCTGCTATATTTGGTCAGATTTTTAAAAAAATATATTTTATTGATTTTTTACAGAGAGGAAGAGAGAGGGATAGAGTGTTAGAAACATCGATGAGAGAGAAACATCGATCAGCTGCCTCCTGCACACTTCCTACTGGGGATGTGCCTGCAACCAAGGTATATGCCCTTGACTGGAATCGAACCTGGGACCCTTCAGTTTGCAGGCCGATGCTCTATCCACTGAGCCAAACCAGTCAGGGCTGGTCAGATATTTAATTAACTCACCCCTAATGCCTTGGCAAGGCCAGACCAAATGATTTCTCTGGCCTTATGTGGCCTACAGGCCGGATGTTCCCTACCCCTGGCCTAGTGAAGTTCTGGTAAGAGCATTTGTTACTAGCTGTCCTATAGATTTGAGCCAGTGCTGGAAACTGGACAGTTTCCAATTTTAAGACTCCTTTTAACTTATGAATGCCCTCTGATGGTGATAGGTAGAGTTGACCTGCTTTTACTCTAGCTTGTGTCCTTGCTTGTAATTATGTGGAAAGTGCATAATCAGAGGCACTACTATAATGGTATTTTTAACGTTCTTATCTCTCCAGGATAAAAACCCAAATTGTTTATAAAAACGGAAAGAAGCATCACGTGTTTGTTTAACATCCTAAAACTCATATTTTACATCATCTTTTTTAAGTTGTGATTTATGAAATCACTTTATTGGTTGAAACCGCTGTGTTTATGGCTCAGAGATTCTTATCTTTAATCAATGTTTTTCAAACTGTGGATCATAACTTGTTAATGGATAATGAAATCAATTTAGTGGATTATAATCATCATTTAAAAAAGTAGAACAGAAACTAAAAAGAAGGTATCAAATTTGTTTCCAAAGACTAAGATTAAATAGAACTTTTTGTGTGTTATATATTTACATTTACATGTGTGTATTTGGACACAATTTAATAATGTATTTCTCAGGATTGCAACTAAGCATTTGAAATCCACTAATTATTGTAATAGCCCCATCTACTGGTACTTAAGGATATCGCCACTGAAGGATTTTAGTAAAGTAGTGACCTATGGTTATTTTTATGCATTGTGCCTTTGTATGAATTTCTCCTTTGTGATTTGATAAGAATATATATATTCTGAATAATATTTATCATTTATATATGTAGATTCTTTCTGATCAATACCAGATGCAGGATGCATTGGAAAAATCAGATCATTTGATAGCTGCAACCAAAGATCTGTTTGTTGATTTTCCTCGTAGGCGCACAGGTAAAGTATTCAATTCAAACAAAAGCTTCTTTTTTTTTTAATTTATAGGCACAAATGGCTATTTAGAAGAATTTAAAATATTTTTTTCAGGCATTATATTATTTATATTACAAGTATTCTAGAGTGGATAGCATATAAGAGTTATTAGGCATACATTCATTATAATTTGTTTGTTTTTCACTGATAATCTTAACTATTACAAATTACTCAACTAAGGAAAAGTAGTGTTATTATCTACTAAAATATTTTGTGGTGCAGTGTACAAGATTTTATAATTTAAAATAGGACTTGATTTTTCGTTTATTAATATTAAGTTATCATATAATTGAAGTATCTGTTTATATGTAAGTTGAGTAAAACTTAATTTGAAATCTAAAGCAACATGTCTCTCTCTGAGAGGAACTTCTCACCTCCTAATACAGAATTATTCATAATGAGTATATAATCCATTTTTTATTTTAATCCCTAAAAAGAAATAATTAATTTTTAGTTTAAGGTTTGAATCCTGGCTCAGCCTATTATCAGTGCGACTCTGGTCCAGTTGCTTCAGGTTTCTGAGTTTCAGTTTATTGATCTGTAAAATAATAATAGTAACAATCTCATAGGATTTTGTCAGGGTAAAATTATTTAATATATGTGAAAGCACTTAGAACTACGCCTGGTATATAGTAAGTACTGTATAAGAGTGAGCTGCTGTTGCCATTAAAGATTTTCATATCCTGATACAAACCTATGGAAGTGTTTAGTGCTTGTGAAATTACTTTAGTGAAATGAAACAAAGTCATCACGGCATTTTCCTTCTGCAGGGTTTCCGAATGTAACAGTGGCTCCTGATTCCTCTCAAGGGCCCATTGTGCTAAATCAAGACCCCGTCACCCAGGCCATCCTTGGTGACTCTGTTGTGGAGCCTCAGGTAATGTGCTCTGCTTACAGCCAAAATGCTCATGCCGAAATTAAGTTTAAGTTGATGTAGGTATTGTGGTAAGCATTTCAAAAGCTTAAATGCCAACAAATACAAAGTTGTGGTTGTTGGAATTGTTCTTAATCATATTGCACCTTCTGTGAGTATAGTGTTTGTACTAAACAAGATAGGGCTGGATAATAATAGCTAACACTTACTGAGCACTTACCTAGAGATAGGCACTATTATCCTCATTTAGCAGATAAAAAAAAACTGAGGTTCAGAAAATTTCTAAGTGACTTGTCCAAGATCACATAGCTAGTTAGCATCAGAGATGACATTCAAATCTAGACTGCTTAGCTCCATAAGACTGCTGCCACCAGCTGCCAGTATGGAAACAGCAAGGAGGCTTCCGCTTTGAAGTCAGTTGGATCTGTGTTCATATTTTGCTACTTACTAGGTGTTTGATCTTGAATTAATTTCTTAAGGTATCTGAGTTGGCTTAGAGTGTTTTTTGTTAAATAGAATATACATGCTATGGTTGTTTCTTCTAATGTATTAGTATGTTTAAAAAGAGCTACCCAGGAAACTTGGCATTTATTGACTAGTTATATGGGACAATTATATTATAGCACTAAAACATTAACTAGCTGTATCCTAACGTAATTAGAACTCTTAATTAATCAAAATGTTTAGAATTTTGAGATAGTAAACATTTTTTAAAATCCCATGAAGCCCTGGCCAATGTGGCTCAATTGGTTGGTTGTTATCCCATGCACCAAAAGGTCGCTGGTTTGATTCCCGGTCAGGGTCCATTGCCTAGGTTGTGGGCTCGATCTCTGGTAGTGGGCATGCAGGAGGCAGTGATCGTTGTTTCTCTTTCACATTCATATTTCTCTCCCTTCCTCTCTCTCTGAAATCAATTAAAACATTTTTTAAAAGCCCATGAAGAACTTAATACTAAAATAAAACTCTGGCCCAGCTGGAGTGGCTCAGTAGTTGAGTGTCAACCTATGAACCAGGAGGTCATGGTTTGATTCCCGGTCAGGGCATATGCCCAGTTGTGGGCTCAATCTCCAGTGTGGGTTGTGCAGGAGGCAGCTGATCAAGGATTCTCTCTGATCATTGATGTTTCTATCTCTTTCTCCCTCTTCCTTCCTCTCTGAAATCATTAAAGATATAAATAAAATAAAATAAAATAAAATAAAACAAAACTTCTGCCCGGCCATTGTGGCTCAGAGGTTGAGCGTCGACCTATGAACCAAGAGGTCATGGTTTGATTCCCTGTCAGGTACATGCCTGGGTTGTGGGCTCAATCCCCAATGGGGGCGGGGTGGGGGGCGGGCACATGAAGGTGGCAGCTGATCAATGATTCTCTCTCATCTTTGATGTATCAGTCTCTCTCCCTTTCCTTTTTTCTCTGAAATCAATAAAGATATATTAAAAAAATAAATAAAACTTCTTATGAATGATTAGGACTCAGTACCTGTTTAATGCAATTTCCTCGTTATTCATATCTTCTATGAGAAAAGGGATTCATCAATTAGAGGGATGATCCTTTAATTTGCAATTCTCTATCTTTCTTGAGCCCTGGACATTTATATCCAACTGCCTAAATGCCTAAAAAATTTCAATGGTAAATCATCCTACACACACATACTCAACAGCTCTAAAACAGCTCATCCTCCTAAGCCTCTCCTGTCATTCCTACCAGATTACCTAAGACCATAAACAGTATCACCAGGGCTCAAGAAAGATAGAGAATTGCAAATTAATTATCCAGAATAATTAAAGACTTGTAAAGTACACTGTTTTCTTACAAAGACAATTCAATAGAATGTTACATATATTTTAAATAGCCAAAACCCATTACTATGTCCCTAGGTAAAAACCATTTATATTTAGGCACTTATTAAAACCATAGCTTTCAGATAATTGTGGACTCTATCATGGGGAGAAGTGGCAAGAGCTGAGGTTAGAGAGACAGGATGGAGTTAGGTTATGAAAGTAAGAGTAGAGCCACTAAAGCAGGGGTGAGGAACGTCTGGCCCGAGGGCTGTATAAAGCTCTCGGAATATTTGGTTTGGCCCTGCCAAGGCATTTGGGGTGATTTAATGAAATGTTTGACCAAATATAGCAGGCCAATTTTTAAGCTGATAATTTTGTATGTCCCGAGAATGACTTTATAAATATCCAAATGGCCTTGGCAGAAAAATGTTCCCCACCTCTGCACTAAAGGATGTTGAGAACTGAGACATGATGAAATCGGCTGTCGTGTGGAAGATGGACTGGGAGGGACAAAACTGGCGAGAGGATCTGGTTAGAAGACTCAGGTTGGAGTCTTAGTGAGAAGTGGTGAGGACCTGTCCCAAAGCAGTGGCAGTAGGGAAGAAGATCGAAGGGAAGAGGGATGGGTTGTGAGAGTAAAAAAGGGGTGGAATTGGCAGGATTGGGTGGCTGATTGGATGTGACAAATGAGAAAGACAAATAATTCCCAGTTGCTTGCTTGAGCATCTGAATGAATGGTGATACTGTTTATGGTCTTAGGTAATCTGGTAGGAATGACAGGAGAGGCTAAGGAGGATGAGCTGTTTTAGAGCTGTTGAGTATGTGTGTGTAGGATGATTTACCATTGAAAGTTTTTAGGCATTTAGGCAGTTGGATATAAATGTCCAGGGCTCAAGAAAGATAGAGAATTGCAAATTAATAGCATTTGAGTTGTAATTGCAGCATTGAAATTAAATACAGTCATTTAGAAAGTGAGTCAGATGAGAGGAGAATAAGGGTCCAAAGGAAGGACCTGGAGTCATATCAGATATAAGGGAGGCCTAGAAAAAGCACCAGTAAAGGAGATTGGGAAGGAACAGACAAGAGAATAGAAGAACCAAGAAAATACGGTATAATGAAAGTTAAAAGGAGGAGTGGATCAAGAAAGAAATGAGTGGTTGTTAATATCTCATTTCTCTAAATGAGTTAGAGAAATAAAGGAAAGCAAAGACTGAAAAATATCCATTAGATTTAAGAACCAGTGTTTTGATGTTGACTTGTAGAGAGCAGTCTGAGTGGAGTGGCAGAGCAGAAGCAAGGTGGCAGGGCATAGATGGCGAATGGGAGTGGGGGACAACTTGTTCTACAAGTTTGGTGGTGAAAGAGAGAAGATAAATAGTAGCTTGAGGGAGAATAGGGTCAGGATAAGATGGGAGAGACTTGGTCACATTTAAATGTAGATGAGCTGAAGCCAGTACAGAGGGAGAGGTTGAAGATGGAGGAGGAGAAGGGGAAATTGGTGGAGTGGAGGAGGTGAGAGGATTTGGGTTGTAAAACACATGGAGTAGCCTTAGAAAGAGGGACCTCTCTTCTGTTATGAAAAAAAGAAAAAAAAAGGATGAGTGTGCATATAACCAACTTGTGTTGTTATTCTTATTTTTATGTTGAGAAAGGCTCTTAACGAAATAGATGAAGAAGAAGAAGAAACTGTTAACAGCCAGTCAGAGGAAAGTGAGAATGAGTTGGATAACTCTCTAAACTCTCAGTCTAACATGAATGCAGACAGGTATGTACATATGGCATAGGTATCTACAACACTTTTCTTTTTTTCCAAGGCCATTTTTTCCCAGCTTTATTGCGATATCATTGATATGTAATCTTGTGTATATTTAAGGTGCACAACTTGTTGATTTGATACATTGATGTATGCAAGATGATCACCATAGCATTATCTAATGCTCTATCAAATCACATAATTACCATTTCTTTTTTATGGTGAGAGCATTTAAGATCTATTCACTTTGCAAATTTCAAGTATATAATACAGTATTTTTAGCTATAATCACTATGCTGTGCATTACCAGTAGATCTTTAGAAGTTACTCATCTTATTTTACTAGAAGTCTTTACCTTTTTACCATCTCCCCATTTCCCTGCCCCAGCCCCTGTTAACCACCAGCCCCTGTGAAAAGGTCGTTCGACCCCCAAAGGGGTCGCGACCCACAGGTTGAGAACTGCTGCTTTAGCATTTCTTGCGTTGCTGGCTTGATAGTGATAAACTCCCTTAGCCTTTTTTTGTCTACGAAGCTCCTGCTTTCCCCTTCAATTTTGAATGATAGTCTTGCTGAATAGAGTATTCTTGGATTCAGTCCCTTGCTTTGCATCACTTTGTATACTTCAATCCATCCCCTTCTGGCCTGATGTGTTTCTGTTGAGAAATCAGTTGATAATCTAATGGGAGATCTCCTGTAGGTAACTCTGTCTCTCTCTTGCAGCCTTTAAGATTCTCTCTTTGTTGTTAATGTTTGCCATTGTAATTATGACATGTCTTGGTGTGGGTCTTTTGGGGTTCATCTTGTTTAGGACTCTCTGTGCTTGTGTGACTTTTCTCTTCCCCAAATCAGGGAAGTTTTCTGTCATTATTTCTTTAAATATGTTTTCTAATCCTTGCTCCTCTTCTTATCATTCTGGCATCCCTATTATACAGAAGCTACTTCGTTTCATGTTGTCCCAAACCTCCCTTAGGCTCTTCTTCTGCTTTCTAATTTCTTCTCCAATTGTTCAGATTGGTATGTTTTCTGCCCGGTCTTCTAACTCGCTAATTCGGTCTTCTGCTTCTTCTAGTCTGCTGTTGAAACCTTCCATTGTGTTTATTATTGTAGTTATATCATTCTTGATTTTCTCTTGATTCTTACATAAGTTGTTGATGTTCTCATCCAGCTGGTTTAGGAACTATGTGACCCTTACTCTGAATTCCTTTTCTGACATACTACATGCCTCCATTTCATTTAGTTCCTTTCCTAAGGATTCCCCCTTTTCTTTCCTTTGGGGGTTGTTTCTTTGTCTCCCCATTTTTGCTCTCACTGAAGAGTCCAGGTGCCAAGTTGCATGTGGCCTGTGGTTGAAGCAGAGGGCTTGGCAGGAGGGTCACACACTCCGGGACTCTTTGGAGGTCCCAGGCGCTGAGTAGCTTGGGGCCTGTGGCTGAAGCAGCCCACTTGGCGGGAGGGTCACGCACTATGATACTCTCCACAGGACCCAGGCGCTGGGTAGCATGGGGCCTGTGGCTGAAGCGGCGGGCTTGGTGGGAGGGTTGCACACTCTGGGACTTGCCCTTGGGCCCAGGCGCCGGGTAGCGTGGGGCCTGCGGCTGAAGAGGTGGGCTTGGTGGGAGGGATCGTACTCCGGGACTCACAGGAGTTTGTGACTGGGGAGGCAGGAGTCCTGGAGTCTGTGAGTCTGCAGATGAGGTAGCAGGTCTTTGGCCGGAGTGAAAATCAGATTTTTTTGGCTATTGTTGTATGAGTTCTTTGTATATTTTGGATATTAACCTCTTATCAGATATATGAATTATAAATATTTTCTCCCATTTTGTAAGTTGCCTTTTCATTTTGTTGACTGTTTTTTTGCTGTGCAGAAACTTTTCGGTTTGATGTAGTCCCATATTCATTTTTACTTTTGTTGCTTATGCTTTGGGTATCATACACAAAAATTGTTGCCAGATCCGTGTTGCTTTTTTTTTCCCCCTAGGAATTTTACCATTTCAGGTCTTACGTTGAAGTCTTTAATCTATTTAGAGTTAATTTTTGAGTGATATAAGATAGGGGTCCAATTTTATTCTTCTGTTCTTATTTATCCAATTTTCCCAATATATTTATTGAAGAAACTGTCCTTCCCCCTTGTCAAAAATTAATTGACTGCTATATGAGGTTTTTTTCTGGCTCTTGATTCTGTTCTACTGGTCTTTGTATCTTTTTACTCTAGTCTATTTTCTGCTAACAATTTAACTTTTTGATTGCATACACTCTATCCTTTTACTCACCCCTTTTGTTTTTGATGTCACTATTTACATCTTTTTATACTGTGTATACATTAACAATGATTTGTAGCTATAGCTATTTTTAATACCTTTGTTCTTTAATCTTTATACTAGAGCTAAGTAGTTAACATATCACCTTATAACAGTATTAGGGTAGCCTGAATCTGACAATAGTCTCATGTTTACTAGTCTGTTGTTTATTTTCAAATGTTTTCATGTTACTAATTAGTGTCCTTTCATTTAATCTTGAAATTTTTCTATCAGCATTTTTTTTTTTTTTTTGGTCAGGCAGGTTTAGTGGTGATGAATTCCCTCAGCTTTTGTTTATTAGGGAAAGTCTTGCCTTCATTTCTGAAGGACAGTTTTGCTGGGCAAAGTATTTCTGGTTGGTAGTTTCTTTCTTTTAGCACTTTGAATATATCATTCCATTCTCTCCTTGCAGGCCTCTTGAGAAATTCAAGCCCATTTACTATGTTTTATGCCATCTTCTTTTATTAGTTGAAAGTATATTCTTAATTTAAGAAAGTTTTTATTTTGATATTTGAAAAAAACATTATAAGAATAGTATAAAAATTCTTGTATACTTTTTACTTAGATTCACTAATTGTTAACATTGTCTGTATTTGCTATATCATTTTTCTCTATATCAATGCATACACACATATTTGGAAGTGAGCTGCATACTTCATGTTCTTTTATCCCTCAGTATGTGAGTGGATATTTCCTAAAGGACAAGATCATGCATTCACACAGTCACAGTACAATGATTACGATGGATAAATTACATTGATTGAATTCTATTATCTAATCTGTAGATCTTATTTAGATTTCTTTAGTTGCCCCTTTAGTATTATTTATGGTCATTCTTTTTTAATGTTTTAAGAATCAAGCATGATCTCTTATTACATTTTGTTTTCATGTCTCTTTCATCTTCTTTAATCTGGAAACTTCTTTTAGTGTTTCCTTGTTTTCATTAACATTTACAGATCTGAAGACATACAGGCCAATTATTTTATAGAATGTCCTCTAATTTGACTTAGATATTTCTTTGTGATTGGACTCAGGTTATACATTTTGGACAGGAATATCTCTGAAGTGAGGCTAAGTCCTCAGTGCATGACATCATAAGGCAATGATATAATTAGTTCCATTATTAGTTTGTCTATTTTGTTAAATTTTTAAAGAACCAGGATTTTGATTTACTAATTAGAGCTACTCTTTTTCTGATTTTTTTTCTCATCAATTTTTGCTTTTGTCTTTATTTCCTTTCTTGTCCTTTTGTTTTGGTTTACTTTTTTCTCTAGCATTTTGAGTTGGGAATTGATTTTCATTCTTTTATTCTTAATTGACAGATCTATTTCAGGTTCTGAATTTTCCTCTGATCACTACTTTAAATGTGTACCGTATATTCTAATATATAGTGTTTTGTTATTTTAGAAATTAGGTAATTTAACTTTAGATTTTCCCCTTTTACCTAAGAGTTATTTAATATATTTTAAAAATATTTCCAGATAGAAAAGCCTCTTTGTTTTTTTGGTTTATTACTTCTAGTTTTATTTCATTACATTCAGAGTTTGTAATATTTTTACTTATGGAACTTAATGATGTTTTCTTTGTGACCTAATAGATCAAATTTTTGTGAATGTTCTGTGTGTGTGCTTGAGAAGAAGGTGTGTTCTCTATTAACAAGGTATAAAGTTCTAAATGTATAGCCACAAGATCTACCTCATTGATTATGTTGTTAACTTCTTCTGTATCCCTATTTATCTTTATCAAATCTTATATTGAGAGTAATGTATTAAAGTCTCTTGCTATTATTGTGTTTCTATTTGCTGTTTATATTATTTTTCAGAGTCAAATACCTCCATTTTTATAAAGTTGCTTGTTGCATGTTTCGGTATATGGATCTCCATAAATATTGTATCTTCATTGTGAAGTATGGAATTTAGCATTTGAAAGTGTTCTTTGTCACACTGAATGCTTTTTGGCTTCAATTCTACTTCGTGTAATATCAGGAATGAAACTTCTGCCTTCTTCTTCTTTCTAAATTGCCAGTTCATCTTTGCTTATCCTCTTATATTTAGCCTTTCTGAATTATTGTATACTAGGTGGGTCCCTTGTAGTCAACATAGAATTGGGCCTTGACTTGTTAGCCAATATGAAAATCTTTTTTTTTTAATTGGTGAAGTTTCCTGAAGTACTTATTGATACAGTTATGTTTGATGTCAACTTTGTCATTATACTGTAATTATAGTTTTCTTTCTCTATGTTCTTTTTAATATTTCTTTTGGTATTTAGGAAGTTTGTAATTTTGTTCTAGTTGGTTCCTTTTTTGTATCTATCTTTTATATAGCCTTTAATTTCCTCTTTTCTTATTTAACCTTTTACTGTCAGGTGTGTTGGTTTTAAGTGGTATTTTTTGGTTTCTATCCATTTCCTATTCAACGAATAAATTGTTCTACATTCTCATTATTTCCCTTTTTTCTCTCCCTCCGTCTCCCCATTTTTAGCTGCATACTTTTTTGCTTTCACAGAAAATAAAACATTTATGTATTATTCTTCCTTGTATATTTCTATTTTTTTTTTTTTACCTTAGAGCTACAATTAAATATATTAAATGCTCACTCATCTCAGTCCTTTTATGTTATTTCCCTAGTTAACTCTTGGTTGAATCTCTCAGATAAAGCTTATTATAGGGCTTTTGAATATAATGTTCCTTGAGTTCTTAAAAGGTTAAAAGTTTTTTTTTATAACTTTGATATTTGGACAACTTAGCTGGATATAAAACCTTTGGTTTATATGTTTTTTTCCCCTTAACTTTCTTAAAAATGCTACTCCACCGTTGGTTTGCTTTGAATGTTACCTTTGAGAAGTCTGATGCTAGGATACTTTTCTTGCATTTTAAAATAATTTGGATATTAAGTCACTTTTATCTAGTGACTTGAAATTTAAATTTTAATATTTTAGCATTTAAATTTTATTTCCTTTATATTTTAAATATTGCCAAGTTATGTCTTAGAGTTTTTACCTTTCCAGATCAATTTTTGCGTCCTAAAAACAGCCCTTTCATATATGGATTCAGTTTTTTGTTTTTAAGTTTTGGATTATAGTTTTAAATTAGTTCTAAATCACTTGTTTTTCTTTTTCAGGAACTCCTTTTATATATATGTGTATGTAAAAGATTTTTTCTGTCTTCCATTTCAAGTACTTTCTTTCTAACCATTGTTATTCTTCTTAATCTTTTTGTTGTTTTTCTGTAATTCTTCAATGTTCCTTATTAAATGTTAATTTAACAATTCTCCATTAAACACATTATAATTTAATCTTTATTTCTGAGGTGGTTTTCACTTTCCTTGGATTTATTTCCTAAGTTCAATCAATTCTTGTTTTTGTTTCTTCCTGATTTTTATCCATTTTAGGTCTTAGTTTTGGATTTTCTGACTCAAGATTTATAGGTATAAAGCTTAAAATTATTTCATTTTTGTTTAAATATATTTCATTTTATTTAAATAAAGTGTATTTTTAGTGTTCTTTTTTTAAAATATTTTTATTGATTTTTTACAGAGCGGAAGGGAGAGGGATAGAGAGTTAGAAATATCGATGAGAGAGAAACATCGATCAGCTGCATCCTGCACACTCGCTACTGGGGATGTGCCCGCAACCAAGGTACATGCCCTTGACCAGAATCGAACCTGGGACCCTTGAGTCCTCAGGCTGATGCTCCATCCACTGAGCCAAACCGGTCAGGGCAGTGTTCTGGTTTTTTATGTGTGTGTGTGTGGGGGGGGGGGAGGTGTGAATTTTTATTAGCTGAAATCTTTCAATTTAAACTTTCCACTCAAGTCAATTTTGGTAAGTTACATTTTCTTAGGGACTTACCCATTTTATTTAAGTTTATTAATATATTGTAATTGTTTTGTTATATTGCCTTGTATGGATATATACAATTGCATAGTCCCTTTTTAGTCAAATACAGTAACACTGGTTCTAGGGATTAGGTTGTGGGTAAATTTGGGGGATTATTAAGCCTACCATAGATAACAGTATATTATTTTTCTTGTTATTATTTCACATAACCTGGCTCTTCAAAGTATAAACATTAGAGACAGAAATGTGAGTTCATATGGGTTTGAATTTTCCCAAATTGCACAGATATCTCATTCCAACTTTTTCTTAGGATTTGTCCTAAGTTTAGACTTAGAGCTAGCACTGTCTTACAGAGGAGTCTTTCTGATGCTTTGATAAATAACCGCCTGTGAATAGACTATATTACGGACATTTTACTTAATATACTTCATAGCAACTAATGTTCAGTGTACTACCTGTAAGTTGCTTGAAGGCAACTCCATTAGGTTGAGGTCTGTGAGGCCACTGAAGAAGATTTCACTTTTCCTGGTTTGTTTGTTTGTTTTTTTGGTAAAGGCTTTATTTATTTATAGTTAACACTAGAGGCCTGGTGCATGAAATTTGTGCACTGCGGGAGGGGGGTGGGAAAGAGTCCCTCAGCCCGGCCTGCACCCTCTTGCAGTCCAGGACCCCTTGGGGGATGTCCAACCACCACTGCATTTGCCAGCCATGAGCCTGGCTTCGGGCTGAGCGGCTCTCCCCCTATGGGAGTGCACTGACCACCAGGGGGTAGTTCCTGCATTGAGTGTCTGCCCCCTGGTGGTCAGTGCGTGTATAGCAGCCAGTCATTTCACTGTTTGGTTGATTTGCATATTAGCCTTTTATTATATAGGATACCACACAGTCTACCCATTTAAAGTGTAATATTTGGCCTGGCCAGTGTAGCTTAATGGTTGAGCATCAACCTATGAACCAGGAGGTCATAGTTTGATTTCTGGTCAGGGTGCATGCATGGGTTGCAGGCTTTATCCCCGGTGTGGGTGTGCAGGAGGCAGCCAATTCTCTCTCATCATTGATGTTTCTATCTCATTCTCCCTCTCCCTTCCTCTCTGAAATCAATAAAAATATATTTAAAGTATAATATTTGATGATTTTTAATATATTCACAGATTTGTACAATCTACAATCAATTTTAAAACATTTGCGTTACTCCTAAAAGAAAACCCATACTATGTAACCCCAAACTCTTGAGCCCTACCTAATCTATTCGTTTGGTCTATTTTCTATCTCTGTAGATTTGCTAATTCTGGACATTTCATATATATAGAATCATACAATATGTGGTCTTTTGTGTTTGGTGTTTTTTACTTAGTATGTTTTCAAGATTCATCCATGTCATAGACATATCAGTGCTTCATTTAATGGTTCCATAATATTTCATTGTGTGGATAGATCACATTCATCAGTTGGTGGATGTTTGTGTTGTTTCTGCTTTTTCGTCCCCTAGCTCTTTTTTTGTTGTTGTTAATCCTCACTTGAGGATATTTTTCCATTGATTTTTAGAGAGAATAGAAGGAAGGAGGAGAGGCAGAGAGAAAGAAACATCGATGTGAAAGAGATACATCGATTGGTTGCCTCTTGTACATGCCTCAACCAGGGCAGGGGATCAAGCCTGCAACCCAGGTACATGCCCTTGACCAGTATCAAACCTGGGACTTTCAGTCCATGAGCCAATGCTCTGTCCACTAAGCCATACTGGCCACGGCTGGTCTCCTAGCTCTTTTAAGTCTCAGTCTAATTGAGAAATAGACAATTGGAGATTAAAATATTAGCTTTATCAATGATGAAGATGATTACAGCATAAAGCTTAGCTCTCTAATTATCTATGCTGTAGCTCTTCTTTCCACTCCCTCTCCCAGCTTCTCAACACACAGGGCAGAGTCTGCTCCAATCACTTTATTTCAGTGATGAGCAGAGATGATGCTCTGGGAACGAAACATCGATGTGAAAGAGATACATCGATTGGTTGCCTCCTGTACATGCCTCAACCAGGGCAGGGGATCAAGCCTGCAACCCAGGTACATGCCCTTGACCAGGATCAAACCTGGGACTTTCAGTCCGTGAGCCAATGCTCTGTCCACTAAGCCAAACTGGCCACGGCTGGTCTCCTAGCTCTTTTAAGTCTCAGTCTAATTGAGAAATAGACAATTGGAGATTAAAATATTAGCTTTATCAATGATGAAGATGATTACAGCATAAAGCTTAGCTCTCTAATTATCTATGCTGTAGCTCTTCTTTCCACTCCCTCTCCCAGCTTCTCAACACACAGGGCAGAGTCTGCTCCAATCACTTTATTTCAGTGATGAGCAGAGATGATGCTCTGGGAACAGGCTCTTTGTAGGAGAGAGAAACCAGAAGGGACCAAGTCTTGTACTTTCTCTAGAGAAAGAGGGAGGAGGATGGGACCATACCACTTCAGAAAGGGGAAAGTCCCTGCTTTAGGAGCCAGTACAGGCTGGATACTGGGAGGGAGATGGAATGATTTCTTCTAACACTAAGAAGACTGATATTTTAGCCTGGCCAGTGTGGCTTAGTGGTTGAGCACTGACCTATGGACCAGGAGGTCACTATTCAAATCCCATTTGCAGCACATCCCCGGGCTGAATCCCCAGAGGGTGTGCAGGAGGCAGCTGATCAATGATTCTCTCTCATTATTGATGTTTCTATCTTGTTCTCCCTCTCCCTTCTTCTCTAAAATCAATAAAAGTATATATTTTTTTTAAAAAAGAAGACTGGTATTTTAGTTCTCTCTCATAAGTTAAAGCAAATCATGTTTTCTTTGATTATGAATTATGAAAAGTTCAAATCAAACATGTAAACAGTTGAACAGTGTAAATGATGGCACTTATTAATTGTAATATATAGCTTGTTGTCCCATAATTTATAGGTTCCTTCACCAACTAAAGGAAGATAATTCTGAGATAATTAGTAAACTGTGGACTGATATTCAGCAGAAAATAGCAACACAGTCACAAATAACAAGCCCTCTAGGGACTCCATCATCCACCTCTCCATCAGAGGAAAAAAAAGGTTTGTTTTCACGTTATATTATTTCTTACAGACAATAGCTTGCTATATTTTTTTCTTTCTTGAACACAGTAATCGTTAAAGAAGTTATTTGAGTTTTGACTGTCTTAGCCTAATTGAGTAAAATACTGATTGACCTGTGAATTGAAACGCTTTAATCATTTTTTTCACCTGAGATGCTTTTGGAAATACCTTTTGTTTTAGCTGCTCTGAATGCGACTAATGCTGTCAAGAGAGTCCACACCAGGCTTCAGCCTGAAGAATCTTCTGAGTCTCTAGACTCCAGCTACGTTGTGGGACAAGTGCTGAACTCCAGGAAGCAAAAGCAGCTGTTAAATAAAGGTTCCATTCCTCAATTCACAAAGATGAATTATTAGACATGTAACTTGACATGGCCATCTTAATGTCTTAGTGAATGCTTTTCCTTTCAATCATCCAGTTGGATATAGCTAAGTACGAATTTATTGAGTCGTAGCTAAGGAATGCCTCCTTTTATCCCATGTAGCCTTGTAGAATGCTGGTTCTATACATTTCTTATAGATTGTGTAAACCCGGTTTAATCAGAATAGTTTTTTGTGATAAAATTGTGGTAACTTCTATAAAAATGTTTTATAAATTGTGAACATTTCTGTACCATGGAGGGAGGGGGATAAAGATTGATCCTAAATAGCATCACCAGAATGGCATTTTCCTTGGCCATTGAGAATGGATACACAGAGAGCAATTCTTCCGGGCTCTTGTGTCTCGGGGACTGTGTAAAGCACTAACGAGAACCAGAAACCCAGCCCGGCTGTCTGTCTCCGGCTTCTGGTTTGATGAGTTGCAGTCTACCTTGCTGACTTGGCTTCCCTTTCAACCAGATGATGAATCACCTCTTCTGGGAAGAATCCCGACCCCCTGCCTCTCTCTCTCCGCCCTACCCCTGCCCACACTGTGTGGTTGGGTACTTCCCTGTGGAGTTCCTTTTCCATAGAACCCTGTATTAGGCACTTATTTCATTGTATATGTGCCTGGTTCCCCCACCTGACTGTCTCGGGGCCAGAGAAGAACTGACTCATCTCTAGAACCGCAGCCTGCAGCCCACCGCCGGGCTCAGCGCATGAGTTCAGTGTTTGTACAGTCAGGCCAGAACCACTCCCTGGAGCAAGCTGGTTGTCCAGGATTTTTTAAAATGATATAGAGCAAGCAATAGGATTAACTCAAACTCTAGTTCAACTGTAACTGAAATATGCTCAGTAATATAGGCAAATCTTTTATACCGATCCCTTGGGTTGTTTTAATACTTTTGTTGCCCTGGGATTTTGTTGTATTAAATGTTAGCTAAGGTGACATGCTATTAGTTTGAGGAATTCTCAGGTACCGATAATGTTTGATGAGTAATTAAACAAGAATAAAAGAAAGGGTTTTGTGTTTTTTTAATGTGCCTTGCCAAAATGTTGTCACATGTGGGGCTGTGCCAAGCAAAAAATAATTACCTTTCACTTATTATTTAACATACGGTAGTCCCTTCCTTATCCATGGTCTCACTTTCTGCATTTCCCATTACCCACAGTCAACCTCGGTCTGAAAATATTCAATGGAAAATTCCAGAAATAAATAATTCTTTTAAAAAATATTTTTATTAATTTCAAAGAGGAAGTGAGAGGGAGAGAGAGATAGAAACATCAATGATGAGAGAGAATCATTGATCGGCTGCCTCCTGCAGGCCCCACACTGGATCAAGCCCACAACCCAGGCATGTGCCCAAACTGTGACCTCCTGGTTCATAGGTTGATGCTCAACCACTGAGCCACACCGGCCGGGCCAGAAATAAGTAATTCTTACATTTTAAATTGTGCACTATTTTGAGCAGTGTTATGACATCTGGTGCCATCCTGCTTCGTCCCTGGTACGTCGTGAATCACCGTAACCAGCTTGTCCACGTTGTATACATTACCCACAGCAGTCACTTAGCAGCCATCTCACAGTGCCTGTGTTCAAGTCATCCTCATTTTACTTCATAAAGGCCCCAAAGCACAAGAGCGGGGAGGCTGGCAATTAGGATATGACAAAGAAAAGCCAGAAAGTGCTTTCGTTATGTGAAAAGGTGAAAGTTTTCAACTAAATAGGCATTTTATCATCTCGCATTATCATAAGAAGAGTGAGCACACTACAGTAAGATATTCTGAGAGTGAGAAAGATCACATTAACATAACTTATATTATAGTATATAGTTATAATTGTTCTATTTTATTATTAGTTACTAGAGGCCCAGTGCATGAAATTTGTGCACGGGTAGGGTCCCTAGGCCTGGCCAGCGATTAGGGTCTATCTGTGGGGTGACCAGCGGGGCAATCGGGACCCCCACTCGCACCTGCCTTGGCCTGGCGCCTCCTGCTCACCTGCTCCACCATCCCGCCGCAGTCCCGCTCTCGTTGGGCCACATCAGGGCCAGCAGCACCTCCACTGCCACCCGCTGCCAGCACCGTGTTGCTGACGCCCGCCACGTTCCCCGCTGCTCTCTGGTGGTCAGCGCACATCATAGCGAGTAGTTGAACTCCTGGTCGAGCAATTTGCATATTAGGCTTTTATTATATAGGAGGATTATATTTTAACATTTAATTTTTAAATTGGTGATCTATTCACATGGTATGAAATTCAGAGACACGGAAGAATATGTGATGAAAAATCTAATTCCCACCCCTAACTTCCATTTAACCAGTTTGCTTCTGTGTAGCCAACTCTTACCAGACACCAGTATATCCCTCCAGAGATGGTCGATGTGTATTCAAGCAATATGTATATGTACTTCCCTCCACTTCCTTCTACAAAATTTTAGTTATTCAGTTCTATATACCAGCCTATTTATTGTGTTCTATTTGAAGAAGGGGAGAGGATAAAGCTGCATATTTTAATGAAATATATACCTTTTAATAAAAATATTTAATCTCATTACTGTCACATAATATATGCTTTATAAGTATTTTCTTCTTTGACGACTTTGAGTAGAAACTTTTAGTTTTCAACATGTGATGCTATTGATGGGAGTTTATTTGATTTTTTTTGTAGAGTGAGCTCCAACTGCGTAAAGAAGAAGAGACAAGGCAGAAACTGGAGCAGGCATTAGGTGATCATCGAGAGCTCATTGATGCTCTGACAGCTGAAATTCTACTTCTTAGAGAAGAAAATACTGCTACCCAGGTACTCAGATGAAACCCCAAACTTTTCTGTGTTTACTAGTATAAAACATCTTTAAGGATGTCTGAGATTCCTTCTGGATGCCTTTGGTTTAGTTGTGCTGATGTATTACTTGTACTTCTTTATTATCATCAATGGTAGTTTTTATTGAACATCTATTATATTGGAGGTACTATATAGAAATATGGACTATAAGTAGTATATAGAATAAGTCAACTATCTTCAAGAAACTTACTAAATAGTGGGAAGTCAGAATCTATATTTAAATAACTACCAATATTATAGTAGTTTATTAAAAATGTTTAATGAGTGTTATGATAGCTACTGTTAATTTCAGAACAGTAGATACTATTTGAAGAATCCTTCTGCAGTTGTATGTCATTTAGTTGTTTATAGTAAATTCATATTTTTTAGATATGGCTAATCATTCCTTTTTAATACTGTATAAGTATTTCTTCTAGAAAACCTTCTTGCCTCCATACTGCATTAAATATTCTTCCTTTGTGCACTTTTGATATTCTCTGGCTATTGCTCTCATTGTATTTACCAAATTGTGTTACACATACATGGGTACCTGTCATCAAAACTGTGAGCTGCTTGAGGACAGAGACATTTTTGTTCATCTGTTTGTTCTCAAATGGTGGTTATTACAACTTTATTTATCAGCCAAAAGAGAATAGAAAAGCATTAGTTGGTAGACAAGTTGCATTTGTATAAATGGACAGTAGATATCAATCACGAAATTTTTTTAAATGATGTATATAGTTCAAATGCCATTTAATTCTTCCTTTTAAAGTCTACAATTCAGTGGGTTTTAGTATATTCACCAACACCATTACCTAATTTCAGAACATTTGTGTCACCCCAAAGAGAAACCCATCAGCCACCCTCTCTTCTCTCCTCCATCCAGCCCCGGGAAACCACAAATCTACTTTATGTTTCTATAGATTTGTCTAATTGGGATATTACATATAAATAGAATCATGCAATATGTGGTCTTTTGTGTCTGACTTCTTTTACTTAGCATAATGTTTTCAAGGTTCATCTATGTTGTAGCATGTATTAGCATTTCATTTCTTTTTATCTTGAGTGAACATAAGGTTTTCAATTCTCCTGGGAAGATGGGCAGTTTTATAATGTACTAATTTGCTCAACAAATTTTTATTGAGCACCTATTCTTGGCTTGGCACTGTTTTAGGTACAAGAAATATAGTAGTGAACAAAAAAAAAATCTTTGCCCTCGTAGAGCGTATATTCTAAATAAGTCTTAAAAAGAAGAAAAAGTAAAGTATATTGTAAGTTAAATGGTGATGGTGATATCCTATATAATAAAAGGGTAATATGCAAATTGACCCTAAAGGCAGAACAACCCATTGCTTGATGGCCACCCGCAGTGGGGGCAGGGCTGGTGAGTGGACGGGAACAGCCGGCCTCTTGGTCCCTTCCCCCAGCCGTCAGGCACCAATCACCTGGTGGCAAACAGGGAACTGGGGGTGGGTGGCGGCAGGTGGCGGGGCTGGCTACGGGCAGCTGGGGAAGATGTCCCTGATCACAGGTTAGGCCTAGGGACCATATCCACGCACGGATTTCGTGCACTGGGCCTCTAGTGTACTATAAAGAAAAATAAAGCAGGTAAGAGGCACAGGAAGTGCCTCTGATGGGAAGTTGTAAATGGGATGGTCCATGCCTTCCTGAGGAGGTGACATTTGAGCAAAAGCCTGAAGGAGGTGAGGGAGCGAGCATGCAGATAGCTGAGAGATGAGCCATTGAACAGAGTAACAACTGCAAAGGTCTTGAGGTGGGAGGGTGGCTATTGAGCTCAGAAACATTAAGACCAGTGTGGTAGGAGTAGAATGTGGGAAAGAGAGTAGTAGCAGACAAGAGCAGATAAGCCTGATCATGTGGGGTTGTTATACTGAGTGAGATGGGAGACCACTGAAGGGTTTTGAGTAGAGAAGAGACATGATCTTTTGTCGGTTTTAAGAGGATCAGTTTGGGCTAGTATGTTGTCTCTAGGACAGAGAATACTGCTCTTGCTTAGTTTATGGTGCCCTTAGTATCTTAAGACACCAAAAGAAATACCTAACATTTTCATTTATTAAATAGTTAGGTTCAAATAACTTATGAAGTATTTATCTTAACTTATGTTCTATTTGAAAAAAATGATGCATGTAAATTGATAGAAAAAGTCATATTTTTATTCGTGATGAAATAACCACAATTATTTACTATTGGAATATGTATACCTAGTGGGTATTGCACAGCTTCTGAAAGCTTGGAATCATATTGGACACCATCACTCTTATTTCCTGTTCCGCAATAATTTTTATGCAGCATTGCTTTTTAGCATAGCAACTATTAAAACCCAGCCTTGTGAATATATGGCATAATCAAAAGGAACATATCTTGGTCTAATGTGAACTGCCTCAAGCTAGTAGTTCACTGGTACCTCACAGAACATTTGTGTTTCCCTTAAAAATATGAAATGTCCTGTGGGGCCCCTATGAGTTCATTGTGTTGCCCCAAGGTGCCTCAGCCTTGTTTGGGAACAGTATAGGACTATACTCTAGGTCAGGGGTGGGCAAACTTTTTTTTTTTTCTTTTTATTTTATTTTATTTTTTGCTTAAATTATTACAAAGAGTATTACATGTTTCTCCTTTTTTTCCCCTGCCCTTGACAATCCCCTGGCCTCCCCTACCCCCCAGTGTCTGTGTCCATTGGTGGAGGTGAGGGAGCGAGCATGCAGATAGCTGAGAGATGAGCCATTGAACAGAGTAACAACTGCAAAGGTCTTGAGGTGGGAGGGTGGCTATTGAGCTCAGAAACATTAAGACCAGTGTGGTAGGAGTAGAATGTGGGAAAGAGAGTAGTAGCAGACAAGAGCAGATAAGCCTGATCATGTGGGGCTGTTATACTGAGTGAGATGGGAGACCACTGAAGGGTTTTGAGTAGAGAAGAGACATGATCTTTTGTTGGTTTTAAGAGGATCAGTTTGGGCTAGTATGTTGTTTCTAGGACAGAGAATACTGCTCTTTCTTAGTTTATGGTGCCCTTAGTATCTTAAGACACCCCTAGGCCAAAAGAAATACCTAACACTTTCATTTATTAAATAGTTAGGTTCAAATAACTTATGAAGTATTTATCTTAACTTATGTTCTATTTGAAAAAAATGATGCATGTAAATTGATAGAAAAAGTCATATTTTTATTCGTGATGAAATAACCACAATTATTTACTATTGGAATATGTATACCTAGTGGGTATTGCACAGCTTCTGAAAGCTTGGAATCATATTGGACACCATCACTCTTATTTCCTGTTCCGCAGTAATTTTTATGCAGCATTGCTTTTCAGCATAGTAACTACTAAAACTCAGCCTTGTGAATATATGGCATAATCAAAAGGAACATATCTTGGTCTAATGTGAACTGCCTCAAGCTAGTAGTTCACTGGTACCTCACAGAACATTTGTGTTTCCCTTAAAAATATGAAATGTCCTGTGGGGCCCCTATGAGTTCATTGTGTTGCCCCAAGGTGCCTCAGCCTTGTTTGGGAACAGTATAGGACTATACTCTAGGTCAGGGGTGGGCAAACTTTTTTTTTTTTCTTTTTATTTTATTTTATTTTTTGCTTAAATTATTACAAAGAGTATTACATGTTTATATTTTGAAGGCAATCAGTAGGATTTGCTGATGGCTTGGATATGGGGTAAAGGAGAAGATGTAAGAGAAGAGTTCAGGTGATTCAAAGTTTTGGCCTGGGCAGTCAGAAGGGTGGAGCTGTTATTGATGAGTCGGGGAGGGTCACATTTTTTGTGCATGTTAAGTTCGAGAAGCCTCTGTCAGTTCTAGATGGAGATGTTGAGTAGGCCATTGGATATATGAGTGTGGAATTTGGGCGCTGCCATCTTTGAGGGCGTGGCAGTCAATTAGCATATTCCCTCCTTATTGGCTGTGGGCGCCACCATTTTTGAGGGTGGGGTAGTCAATTAGCATATTCCCTCCTTATTGGCTGTGGGCGCTGCCATCTTTGTGATGGTGCGAGGGTCAATTAGCATATTCCCTCTTTATTAGATAGGATATGACCATAAATGTTTATAGTGTTCATGTTTATCACTTTAAAAGCCTGTGTTATATTCTGTTTAGTTTCCTGCATCTGATATAACTGTCTCTTGGGGTAGTTTGAGTCAATATCATCTATATAAAAGATTTTGTAAGTTGAAAGCCTTATAAAAAGGTTAATTCTTATTGTTGTAGCATGTATTTATTAATTAATAATATCCCATAGTTTATTTAACAATTCCTCTATCATGAGACTTTTACAATATTTATAATTATGTATTCTTATGAATGTATTATTTTAGTATTTGAATGAAAGTCAGAAGTTCCTAGAGTATTTAAAATAATGATATAGTTATACAAATCTAGGTGATGATTTGATGTCTGACATGCCAACAATGTTATTTCATTCTTTTTTTGCTAGGCGAGACTTCAGCAGTATATGGTCACAACAGATGAGCAACTTATATCGATCACACATGCCATTAAGAGCTGTCCAGTGATAAATAACAACCAAGCAAGTCTGGCAGCAGAAAGGGGAGCCACAAGTAGTAGAATTATGGACAATCCAGGTGAGTGGGTCTTATTATTCCAGATTGGCATTAAAATATTTATAGAGTAAACAAATGAACGAAACCAGAAACTTATATGGGGTTATTGCATATATAACATTGTCACCACTATTATTGCTGCTAATATTTATTGGATACCTGTTCTATGCCAGATACTTTTTAAGTGTTTTACATGTATTATTTCATTTAATCCTCATAATAGTCTTATGAGGTAGATGTTATTGTCCCCATTTTTTAGATGAGAAAACCAAGGCCTAGCGAGGGTTGGCAACTTAGCAAAGTCACACAAATAAAGAGTAGCAGAACTAGCTTCCTAGACCACGGGAAGGACTTAATGCCAGTACTTTTAATCATGGTGCCTCAGGCTCAGGTGGAGAAGAAATGGTCTTGGGAAGAAAACAGAAAACACTGAACTTTAGAAATTCATAACTTTTGTTTATTGGGTAATGTTTTGAAAACCTTTTTTACCTCATATGCCATAGGTTGAATAGAACATTTAGGCTTTTTCATGTTTTTTACTTCTAAGTAATACTGTGATGAGTATCTCTGTGTGGAAAGTGTTTATGCATTTCAGAGTGTTTCCTAGGGAGAGATTCTAAGAAGTGGCTGACTAAAATTTAACTTGCATGAGATAAACTCCATGGCTAGATCAGGTCCTAAGGGCTTGAGGTCCTCAGTACTTTTCTCAAAAACAGCCACTTCTTCCCAGTGCTGGCCCCATAGGAACCTACCCTGTGAGTTCCTGCTAAAGGAGGATGTGGCCTAAAAAGTAAAGGCTCTCGAGGCCGCCTGATTTTGCCCTCTACGGAATGCTTTGAACTATACATACCTAAATGTGCCAGCGTTCCTTGGCGTACTAATAGCCTCTCATCTTCTTCAGAGGCTTCAGTTGTAAATGCTAATGTCTCCATGCCATTGATGTTTCGAGGGGAAGAAGTGCGTGAATTCCCACAGGAAGACTTGCCTGTTAAACTATCTCAAGTGCCAAACCCTCCAGATAGTGTGAATCTGGCCAACAATTTTCCAGCACACATATTTGAGCCGGCTGTGTTGTTAACACCACCCCGGCAGAAGAGCAACTCAGAATTCTCTCCTCTGCAGGATGGTAAGCAGGCTTCTTCTAAAGTTACATGGTAGTTGTTTTTTATGCTTCATATATGTAATCCATGTGTGCATCATTACCTGATAAACAGAATTAAAAAGATACTGATTACCATACATAACCTTTAAGCCGAAGGAGGATGGGGTGGTTTACATCATGTATGCTATGCCTGTGGTGAAATGTGACGTTGAGTTTCATTACATATATGTTCCATTAGGCATTATAAATGTTAAGCTCAAATCAAGGGATTAAAGCCCTCCGCAGTAAAACATGGAGTGAGGGGAATCCCATTTGTCCCTATGGTCCAGGGCATGGGGAAGAGTAAGAAACAAGAGGAGACTATTCTCTAAAGAGTAATGAATGTTTAACCAAGGAAAGGTGAGAGCCATGACCTGAGGGATTTTATAAGTCAGATCTGGTTATTAACCTCTTTCTCATCAAAACTTTAGCTCAGTCAGTTGAGGGAAATTGGTAATGAAAGTCTATGGACAATTAAAAATTGCTTTAGAGTCACTTTTGCAGCACATATATAGAGTTGAAATAAAATTTCTAAAAAATTATTGTTAATACTTAGCTCATAGATTTTTACAAAATCGCAAATAGGATTTTTATTTGTCACCATTAAAAGTCTGAATTTTTAACAGATTCTTGGACTGGGGGCTCATATCCATCAGTTCATTCAGCTTTAGCACCTGTCTCATCCCAGTGGCTTTTCCAGAATTGCTTCCTTCACCGTGAAGCTCCATGAGTTTTCCCAACTCTAACTTGGGCTTCTTCCGCATTTGACTTTCTAACAAAGACATCGTGGAGTGAATAAATATGTGTTTTCCAATGCTATCTGGAATCATTTTATTGACCACTTCTTTCAAGTTATTTGCACTCTCGGGTCTTGATGTCTATCATCTTCGTCCAGATTTGGCAGACTTATTGATGCTGAGCAAGGGTCTTCTGAATCTGACTTTTGCATTTTCTAGTAAAACCAACACAGACTAGATGAAGCAAATAACCATTGGTAGTCTTGACATCAACATGAGCTTTAATCACGGTTTGCCATTTTTTTTTTTTTTTTTTTTTACTAGGAAGCACATTTTGTCATGGGTAAGATCCATGCCATGGAAATTAGTCAGGCAGTTTTGCCCTGAACATCCTCAGTAATTAGCTTGGATTTTCTAAATGCCACTTCATCATTTTGCAGATCAGCTAGGCTTGCTTCAAAAACACGACCCTTGAGACCATCAGATGCGATTTTGGTTCCTTGAGCTCTCGTGACTAGTGTTTTTCTAGTATTTCTTATATTGAACAAAGCTGGTCCTTTCACATCACACCCATCTTTCTGGGATCACCCACTTTCTTCTTGGCTGCCTTTTTGTCGCCTTTTGGAAGGTGCTGTTCAGAGAGCCAAAAGGGCCCTTGGCTCACAGATTCTTAACTTGGATTTCATGTATGGTCTTCAGAATCTCCATGGATTGCTTCATTGTTTGGAAAACTATATTTATTTGTCCACATGTGCATTTTCTGGAGCTATAATCATTTCATTTTTCAAAGAGTTCTTCAATCAAAAACTACTTTAGACTTTCAGGCAAAGTTTTTAGAAAAATGTTATTTAGCCCTGATTTAACTAAATTTTTGTTTCTTTAATTAGAGTATTTATTTTCTTCTGTAGGAGGACAGAAGAAATAACATTTATTGTCATTGAGACATATAAATTTTGTCAGATTTTCTGTACTTTGATGTATGTTCCCAATAGAGGATTTGAAGAGCCCATAAGGTTTAAAGAAAATGACAAATCTTTGCCATTATAAGATTTGTTTGACTAGCTGTGAGGTATGGGGCTAATACTTTTTATACCTTTTCTGGACTTTAGTTTTCCTACCTTTGCATTGAGAGGATTTTCCTTTATCTTTAATATCCCTCCAGCTCTATAATTCTTTGATTCGATATTTCCTCTTTAGAGGGCTAGAGAATATTATTAACTGGCTAACTTTAGGAAATATGATATCAAATCTGATTTCTGTTCAAGTTAGACTTTCATTTCTTAAAGTAATTTTTCAGATGTTTGCATTGTATTAAAAGGCTTATCTAATGATCTCTTTTGAGATACTGTAAATTGTTTTTCATTGGTGATTCTAAAATATCCTAATATTTTTTAAAGAAACAATTACTATAAATATTTTTACTCTGATTGCAAATATACAAAATGTTCATTAAAGCAAATTATATTGATATAGACAATATTTTGTTAGCATTTGCAGTGGGTTTTGTGTGGAAAATAACATGGCACATTCCTTTTGCAGTGTGCAGATAGAACTATCCTTGAATCTGTATTCTGAAATGGTAGAGTTTTATTATCATATTTTCAGCATTTTGTTCAGAATGCTTACATATAGAGAATTTTTTAGTTAAATTGAACATATGGATAAAAATGGGAGATACATAAGGCCCTTAATCAGGGTTCAGCTCTCTGTCCAGTAGGACTTTCTGTGATGATGAAAATGTTCTGTATCTGCTCCATTCAGTATGGTAGCTACTAGCCAAGGGTGGGGCTGTTGAGCACCTGAAATGTGGCCAGTGACTGAGGAACGGAATTTTATATTTTATTTTATTTTAATTAATTTAAATTTGAATATGAATAGCCACATGTGGCCAGAGGCTACCATACTGGAGAATGTTGCTCTAGAATTTTCCATCATAAATATTTCCTTTAGCTATTAACTTATCTCTATTTTTGTTTAATGCCACGCTTGAAAGACTAGTATATGCTGTTTTCATTTTCTTATATTCCATTCCTTCTTTATTTTAAAGTGTTAGTTCTAATTCCTATTTGCATGTGGCTAAGAAAAAAAAAAGCATATACAGGGATCTCTTCCTCACACACCTCTTGACCTACCCAAGAGGCAGTCATTTTTATCCCAATTTAATTTCTGTTTATCTGGAGGGGCTCTCCATAATTAATAGAAGACATTTTTACATCTCTGGCTGCTTCATTTCTATCTGCTTGGCTCGCTTCCTATCCTTTACCTGACTCTAAATGTTAAGTTCTTCATGTCTTGGTATTGTTTTTTCCCTCACTCTATTTTTTCTCTCCGTGTAATCTCACTCATTCTCATGGCTTCCAGTATTTTCTATCTGCCAGAGAATTCCAGTTTTGAACATAATGCACCTTAAACTTGCACGTTCAGAACTGAATTCTTGATACTCAACCTTCCCCCAAATCTGTTCTTCTTATCTTCTCCATCTCAGTGCATGGCATCACCTTCCATTCAGTTGTGCATGCCATGATCTTACTCTCCATTTCCAGTTCATCATTTCAATTCTATTGCCAAAATACTTCCCAAATTTATCTACTTCTTTCTGTCTTTATACCAACATACCTTAGTCAAAGCTACCATTGTCTTTCTTCTAGATTACCACAGTTGCTTATTGATTTCTTCCATCCTGGATCTTCCAGTTATCCACAACATTTAAGAAATGTAAATTGAGTCATTGCCAAACCTTCTGCAGTCTATTGTTCTTGGATTAAATTGGAAAATTCCAAACTTGGCTTAAAGAGCTCTGCAAGAAATGGCCCTGCACACCTCTCCAGTCTCATCCGTTTCCAGTTTCCTCTCGTTGCTATGCTACAGCTAGACTGGCCTCCTTTCTTTGCTCTTTCCTATTTTGAGGCTTTCACATATGTTGTTCCCTGCCTGTAATGTTATTTGCTCTACTTCTGCCACATATGTAATTATTTAAAATTTTTACTTCTTCAGAGGTGCCTTTCCTGACCATCCTCAGTTTACATTATTATCTTTACAGTTCTCACCCGCAAGATTCCCAGATAAGAGGTAATGTAATGTGAAAATGTGGACTTGGCAGGTGGTTTTTCACAAGTATACTGATTAAGCTTTAAGGTATATCAAAGCTTAATTACTAATTTAGCTACTTATTTATTTATGTTTTTGTTTAATTAACTACTCATGAGTAGATAAAGTCTTCATGCTTGATTGTTAGTGGTGGCATTGCAGGTCAATTTAGACCTTCAGAAACCAACTCCTTCTGTTGAAATCCTTCTCTAACTACCATGATGGGCTAATGAGATGATTACACTGCCAATCTATAGCTAAATAATACATGTTTGTTATTTTAAAATTTTATCTACAGTATTGAGGAGGACCGTTCAAACTCGTCCTGCTCCACGAATTCCTCCAACTGTGGAAATAATTGAGAAGGAACAAAATTGGGAAAAGAAGACCTCACCGCCCAGCACAGACATTCAGAATTCAAGTGACGAGAGTCATCTCTTCACCCAGAGGTGGAGGGTCTCTCACATGGGAGAAGATTTGGAAAACAAAACCGAGGCTCCTTTTGTCAACCTCTCACAGCCCCTGTGCAATTCCCTCTCAAACACTCAGCAACCCAGAAACCCTGCATTCTCAGAAGAGCCCCCAGTACTGGGGGATGGGCAACAGCTTAGAGCAGATGAGGCATTAATACAAAGAAAGAACATCATGGCACAAATTGCTGAGTTGACACTGCAGAATTCAGCTATCAGGGCTCATCTGAATAATATTCTTTGGCCAGGGGGAGAGCAAGGGGATGGACTTCGGGAGTTAAACAAACAGGAGACAAGTCATACAAGCAACATGAGTGCTGTAAGTACCAGTTAAGGACTGACTATGGACATATAGGAATTTAGGTCCATTGCTGGAGCTTCTTAAAGCGCTTCTTTCCAGGATATCTCTGAGGCTGTGGTAGATGGCTTATGCCTGGTCATGTCCTCATCACAAGAGAAGTAGAAGTTATTTGTCAGTTTCTATCTCAGATACAACAAAAGAGGACAACATAAAATAAAAAAGAGGAATGAATGAGGAAAATAGGATGAAGGTAAAATGTAGCAAAGCTAAAATTAGGCTAGGAATGAAGTTTTAAATATAACATGCAGAATTAATATGACTTAAAAATTTGCCACACAACTACATTTTAATTGAAAGCATTTTTACTCTTAAAGGGACTCATAAAAAAGAACTATGTGTAGTTGGCCCTCAACTCATGAATAGTTAATTTTTTAGGACACAGAATGCATTTTGCTATAGAAATGATTTTAAAGGATTTTTAAAGTCAGACTTTAATGTACATATAAATCATCTGGGATCTTGCTCAAATGCTTTTTCTGATTGAATAGGTCTGAGGTAGGCCCTGTGCATTTCTAGTAAATTCCCAAATCATGCCAGTCCAAAGACTATACTTTGAGTAGAAAAAGTCTGAATATTATAGTGCAAGAATTTTGTAAGTTAAATAAGCTGTGGGCTAACATGGTTACTTGGACCTTCATTTCCTTATTTGTGGGAGAAAAGGGATCCTAAGTTCCAATTGGGGAGAGTTTATAACCTACATTTTTCCCCTGGTCCCAGTGATGGGAGAAGCTTCCTTTTACTTTATTATGAGCCAGAGAGGCTCCTGTCAGGCTTCTGCTAGGGACTGGACAATGTTGGAACAGTTGTTAGGGGCGGGCAGGCATCCTGGGTTAGGAGTTTCAGGGGTAATTGCTTCCATGAGGACTTTATCAGAAGGGGGTCATGTGCGTCCAGGAGGAAGGTCAGGAGGTGGGAGATGGTAGGTTAGGGGTACACGTCTGTCAGCACTGGCTCATGGGCAGTCAGGGTAAGATGGGTCTTGAGTCACAGAAATAGTAGTCAGAAGGTTCTGGCAGGGGAGGAGCCAGGAAGGAGTGTTAGGAGTGGGCAGTAGCCTCGCATAGGTGTGTTATAAGTATAAACTGCCTCAATTTTGAGTCATGGGAGACGTTGTTGTTGACAGAGTTTTGAAGATGATTTGAAATAGGCAACGTCTTAGTTTAAAAATGGCAGCAAAGTTAAAAATTGATTTTGCCTCCTTTTCTAATTAGTATATAGATTAGGCTAAGGCACCAACTGTCTTGAGTGAGATATCTTAGGCCAGAAGTGGCCTGGGGAGGCTGACATATGGCCAGAAAGAATGATAAGGGTCCTAGAAATCTTTGCCAAATAATTCATAGTGTGTGAATGAAGATTATAATTATAGAATCATCTCTTTCAACTACAGCAGATCCTTGTGACTTAGACCCCAGATCTGGTATTCATATCTATGTTACTTAGAAGCCAGGTCTTTAGAAGTAGTCTTTGCTCATGTGATCTTTTGTGTAGTTCAGCAAACACTAGAGATGCAGGAAAACTTCATCCCACAGACTCTCCATGGACAGAGAGACTAGAGGACATGTGGCACCAGTATTAGGAGAATTGGCATCCCTTCGTTTTAGCCCTAATTTTTCAATTAAGTGACTTGTAAATTTTGTTTTTAGTCCACTATTCAAGTCTGCACACAGCAAGGGCTATGAACACTAACTTGCTGGCTCTTACTGGAAGTTTATTTTTACAAACAGTCAAACTTGTTTGGATTGTTTTTAATATGGAATTTTGCCTCTTTTTTAAAAGACTTTTCCAGCAACACGGCCTCTAACACCAAATAGCATGGAGGAGCGGATTGCGGAACTGAACCGGCAGAGTATGGAGGCTCGCGGAAAGCTCTTGCAGTTAATAGAGCAGCAAAAACTTGTTGGTTTGAATCCTTCCCCTCCACCGATATCACCTATTCAGTCACCTCTCAGAGCTTGGACTGATTGGCCACAAATTCCTGATTTAAAAGGTAGACAGTTTAAAAGCTAAGCTTTTACTTTCTTGATTTTGCAAGTATATATTGAACTGAAGGAAATCTCAGAGAGCATATATTTCAGTGCCTTCAATTTTACATAGAAAAAAAAGACTAAGTCGCAGAATAAGTGACAGATAGATCTGGAAGGCCGGTCTCCTGTTGGGAAACTCCCCCATGGTGCCTGCAGGAATCTCCGGTGTCTGGGTTCCTAAGTTGCTCTACGTGGAAGTGGACTCATTACAGTCTATGATTTACTGAGCAAAATTATAATTTAGAATTTCATCAGCAAAAAATTAAGTTATCCTGTTAAAATTATGAAAACATTTTAATTGGTAAATTAAGCTTTTTAATCTATTTGTACATTTAAGATGTGAAACACACTAGAGGGGATTCTAAATAATAGAGCAGTAACTGAAAAATTAGTTATCGTAGTGTTCATATGCAAAAGGTACTGATGAGACGAAGTGGATCTCAAGTTGCTCTTCAGTCAGAAATTGAATTATTAAGATTCTCAAGGGGTAGGGCTACACAAAGGCTATGAAGAGACTGATTTTGGCTCATATGAGAGAGGGTTCTAATTGTCAGGAATAGAAAAAGCTGCATCAGTGAGTGGTGCATTCGCTCAGGTGTTCAGGCATTCGTGTGTTAGAAAGATTCAGTGTCCTCTGGCTGGTTGAGGTAGGTTTCCTTTAAGGTATCTGCCAATAAGACTTTTCCTCTCAGAAGTTATTTCCTTTTTGAAACTACAGACTCAGAGAGCAGACTCTTTTGGAGATTACAGATGGGTAATGCATATCCCCAGGGCCCTTCTTCTTTAATTTAGGCTTCTTCAATTGATAGTTTTGTCTACTGTTCTTTGTAGTCACAAAGTCTAGATGCAACTCCTAATAAGAATGAATAAATTAAATCACTCAGAATGTATGAACTCCTACTATGTGCCTGCTATGTTCTGGACATTGGGGATACCACATGGAAGAGGACAAGTCCTTGCCCAGATTGACAACTTTAGTACTCAAGTTGAGGAGCAGGCCATAAACAAATCAGCAAATGAATATATGAGATAATGTCAGTTAGTGCTAAGTACAATGAAGAAAAAGCAGATTACTTTTAAGAATTTTGTGATTAAATAAGACATCTGTTTCAGTAGATTTTTAAGGTAAAACTATTTTCGTTTGATATCTCCTTTTGTCCCCAACACACCATGAGAGTAGACAGAGTTGATATCATACTTGTTTGATAATTAAGTAAACTGAGGTGTAAATAGGTTATATGATTTGTCTGAAGTTCTAAAGCAAATTGGTAAATTTGCACTTGTGTTCTTGCCGTTCTAGTGGTTATATTCTTAAGATATTCTTTTTTTAAGTAAAATTCTTGGTTTCAGAAGGAACCACTGTGGGTTGTAATTATAAAGTAAAAACTCTATGCCATAGAACCTCTTTGTTTTCTAGGGTAGCCAAGGGATATGTAAATAGGGTAGGTTTCATTACCACCTAAAGCTCAAAATCACTGGTTTTAAGTAATGATTTATGGGAGCTTTGGCAAAACTGACTGGGATGGACATAAAGTGTTCCATTAGTAAATAGTAAATATCTGTTGATTGATAACTTACTTCTGAAATATTGAAAAGGTACATAATTATTACCATTGGGCAGGTGAGCTCTTCATCTATTTAAAAGTCTTCAGTAAGAGTAATGTAAAAGATCTAGAAGATTTAAAATTTTACTGAAAGACTTCAGATTTTTTTCTTCTTTTCTTTTTTTTGGGGGGGAAAACTTTAGATAAGCTGCTTTTGACAAATATCTCAAGATCTTTAGGGCTAGCTCTTTACTTCCAGATCTGACATGATGCCACTTGTCTGAGGATTCTGGCTCTCTATGACTGGCATGCTACTGAATTGACACTAACACTAAAGTTATTTCTCACAGCTCATTTTTTAAAAATTCCTCCAAGTGTATCTGTGGGCCATAATGATAAAAATATAGAAAGAACCTCCAAATTTGTAATATTGAAATCTGCAGTAAGACAGAAATCATTACATTTTTAATTTTTATTTTAATAAAAGGTAATGGACTAATGTTTATTTTTATATTTTAGAAGGAGGAAAGAGGACAATTGAAGTATCTGTTCCAGGAGCGGAAGCCCCAGAAACCTCGAAATGCAGTACTGTCTCTCCTATCAGTGGAATAAATTCAAGAAGGTAGGGTTACAATGGGAATAGTTACTTTTTAAAAAAAAATCAAGAATATGGTATCTGTTTTATTCTCTTTGTGAGAAAAGGAAGTGTGTGATATCTGACTTAGGTTCAGGCAGACTCACTGATGAAAATAAAATAAAGTAGTCGGTGAGGAGAATTTTGGGGGGAAAGGAGAGGCATGAGGAACAAGCCTTCAATGAGTAGAAAGCATGGGTTGGCTATTGAGAAACAAAAATGGGATAACAGCACATATATAGAATGCTTTATGGGTGACAAAATTGGGAGATACTATGTGACAGGGTGGGTAAATTAACCACTGGTATTTTCCTCTCATATTAAAATGAAACTGAAGTTCATAGAGCTACCTGTGTGATTTGCCTACATGTGTCACATGTTGATAAATGGTGACACTAGGGATGGACCTACCTGGCTTTCTGTCTCCGCTGCATGCCTGCTATTGCACTGCATTCTCCAGGTCTTGTTACTCTTCCACTGCCTGGGCCTTCTTCACCCCTGCACATCCCTTTCCCCCTTAAATGTTAAAAACTTGTTAGTCTGATACTGTAATGGTGGATACACGATACTGTACATTTGTCAAAACCTATAGAATGTATAACACGATGGATGGGCCCTAATGTAAACAATAGATTTAGTTAATAATAATGTATCAATGTTACAGTTGTAACAAATGTACCACACTGGTATGAGGTATTCATAAAAGGGGAAACTGGGAGGAGGGGTTGAGGAATATATTGGAACCCTTGGATCTTTATACTAAGTCTTTCTGTAAATCTAAAATAACTCTTAAAAAAGGAAAGCCTATTAATTTTTAAAAAAGACTTAGGTTGGTGAAAATATGTTGCAAATAATTTACCTTCTTTGGATCTAAGTCAGCCATACTTTCTCAAGTTTGTGCCAGTATTGAGAATTGTCAGCCTTACTTAATTTTTGAAGATTAATAATGACAGATTTCTCTCTCCCTTTTATTCCTCACAAATAGATCTTCAGGGGCTACTAGTAATTCTTGTTCTCCATTAAATGCCACCTCAGGAAGTGGGCGATTCACACCTGTTAATCCAAGAGCAAAGGTATATGATAAAATGTAATTGTGAAATGTGTACCGTATAGGGGCAGGAGGGCAAGGGTGAAAGGTGGCTATTTTTAGTGATTTCCATTTGTGTGTGTGTGTGTGTGTTTATTAATTTCAGAGAGAGGAAGGGACAAGGAGAGAGATAGAAACATCTATGAGAGAGAAATACCCCCTACTGGGGATCAAGCCCCAAACCCAGGCATGTCTCCTGACTGGGAATCGAACCAGTGACCTCCTGGTGCCTGGGTCAACTCTCAACCAACTTAGCCACAATAGCTGGGCAGTGATTTCCATTCTTTATTCTTATTTATGCTGTTCTAAAGATGATATAAAAATGTGAGAAGAAAAGATATATTAATTTACCTTCATTAGAAAAACAAATAAGCCATATACTACTTTTGTTTTCTAGGATAACTAAGGAATAAGAAAATTCAATAGGATTTTAACAATCTTTAAAGACTGGAAATTACTGGCTTTAGGCAGAGCTTCCCAAATAGTGTGGCGAGCCTCGAAGGTGTGCCTTGAACGCCTTGTAGGTATACTGAGATACTAGTGCCCAGTCCTTGCTGTGGCAGGGTGGGGCTTGGGATAGTCAGCCCTGGGGTGGTCACTTTCCATGTCATTTTACCCCAGTGTGCCATATCTGAGGTCCCCCGGGGTACAGAGTTATGCACAAAGAGTAAAAAAAAGTCTTACGTATTTTTCATGTGTTCTAATTTACTATAGGATTGTATAGAAACTAAGCATCTTACAATATATCCAATTTTTTTGCAAAAGGCATTTCTCTGTGTTGGTAATACAGCAAAATATAGTTTCTCTGAGTGTTTGGTCATAGCAAATTGTGAGAATATCTTTCAAATCACAAACATTACATTTGCAAATTTGAGCTAACAGCTCTCTGATACGGGGAAAAATCTTTGCTGTTCTTATTACTAACTTTAGTAATTAGACCAAATAGTGAATGTCTCAATTAACTGAGTACTACTTGCAGCCCAAATTAATTGATAGACTCAGATATCTCAGTTGTCCAACACTAGATGTGCCCTTTGCTGTTTATTGTACTCTAAAAAAGCTTTAAACTATTTTGTACAATTTGCTCTTAGTTTCTGGAATTTATTAGGATTTAATTTACAAAATCAAATGACTGTTGTTTTTTTAAAAATATATTTTATTGATTTTTTATAGAGAGGAAGGGAGAGGGATAGAGAGTTAGAAACATCGATGAGAGAGAAGCACCGATCAGCTGCCTCCTGCCCCCCCCCCACGGGGGATGTGCCCGCAACCAAGGTACATGCCCTTGACCGGAATCGAACCTGGGACCCTTTCAGTCTGCAGGCCGATTCTCTATCCAGTGAGCCAAACCGGCTAGGGCAAATGACTGTTATTTTTAAAAGGTATACATATGATTTGCATAAAATACTGGATTTATCTTTTTAAAAAAATTAGGTCTCCTAAATCAGCAAGGATGCCACTTGACCAGGGGATCAGTTATTTATGAGTGTCTGTTAGAAATAAAAATTGCCAGTAGCAATTTACTTTTTAGTACCACTCAGTAGCATAGGGTAACTTTGATTCTATGTACTTGAATGGTCTCCTGTTTCTGATTACTTCCTAAATCCTTTTTGCATCTTTGTTCAACAGATTGAGAAACAAAATGAAGAAGGCTGGTTCGCTCTTTCCACACATGTGTCATAAGTGAGGTCAAGTGTGACTTTGTTTTCAGTGGTACATTCTTGAGCTTCCATTCCCCTTTCCCTGCTTTCAAGTTTTTGTCCTTCTTTCAGCTAAAACCTACAAAGATCCTGTGACTTCATACAAATAGAACAAAGAAATAAAGCAATTATTTTATTTTTGAACTTTCAAATACATTTCCAGCAACTAACCAACCTGCAACCTCCTGCAAATAAAATGTTGACTATAGGGAAATTAAAGTTTCATATTCTAGTAATTTCCTAAGTACTTTAAGGTTTTTCTTTCTACTTCTTCTTTTTTAATCCTCACCTGAGGATATTCTTTCCAGTGATTATTTATTTTAAAGAGAATGGAAGGGAAACAGTGGAGGGGGAGAGAGAAACAAAACCGCCAGAGAGACACATGGTTTGGTTGCCTCCCGCTCACGCTCTGACGGAGGGGTGGGGATCAAACCTGCAACCAAGATATGTGCCCTTGGCCAGGAATTGAACCCGTGACCCTTTGGTCTGTGGGCTGATGCTCTAACTTAAGGTTTTTCTTAATATATTATTACCTTTATCATATTTATTCAGGTTTTTTTGGTCTAGTATATCTTAAATGTTGATCTATTTAATTTTTATTTTTACTTTCTGAAGAACTTAGTTGCTTTGCATATAACTTACAATAAAATGCCTTTGTGTGATTAAAGTCTGGCTTTCAGAAAAGTTTAGCACCCCCTTTGGTTTTTTATTTTGGGGAAGTCTCTGTAGTCTATTACTTTTCCTGCTAAGTGGGATGTGCAGCTTTCAAAAGTAGACATGGGAGTTTGTTTATATTTGCTTCAGCAGGTAAGAATGACTCTATGTATTGTAAAATTCCTATATAGTCTTTAAATGTGAAAGTGTCATCAATAATGCTAATGTACAAAAAATAAATAATGATCATAGAGCTCAAATGTCTAAATGCAGTAACACTGATTGATTTGTATATTTAGTGTTTGAAACAGAATTGAATACAAAACATTGCTATCAATTCTCCCAGCCCTTAATCTACTAAGCACTCTGGATAGGTCTTTCTTCAGGGCACCGGTTTGGCTCTCAGACATTGGTTTCTATTTTAAACTTAGTTTTTGAATTATCTCTGCCCCTTGGCTGTATAACAGGAATTTTCAACCTAAGTGAGGTGGTTATGGGGTGGGGGAAGCACATCGAGACTGCGTACTTGGGGAACGTTCTCCGGTAAATACCTTTCCTTCTCCTGCATTGCAGTCACTGTTCCAAAAAGTGTCCTGTGCAGCTTTCATTTGGGCTTCATTGTTGTGGTGACCAATAATAATATTGTTTTCTTCTGGCATCATTAATTTTATTTACATTATGAGAGATAATCACTGATCAGCTGCTTCCTGTGCCCCCCACTAGGGATTGAACCTACATCCCAGTGACCTCCTGGTTCATAGGTCGATGCTCAACCACTGAGCCGCGCCTGGCTGGGCTTAATTAACAGTTCAGTTGCTTAAAAGCCCTCTTTATCAGCTTTCAGAGCCAACTGCGTCAGTGGGTCTCAAAGTCTGACCCCCAATCAGCAGCATCAGCAGCAGCATCACCTGGCACATTTCTTTTACAGAGTCTTTGAATATATATTCTGAACTGTTCTTGAATATATATTCTGAAACTAGAGGCCCGGTGCACGAGATTAGTGCACTCAGAAGAGGGGGGTCCCTCTGCCCGGCCTGTGCCATCTCACAGTCCGGGAGCCCTCAGGGGATGTCTGACTGCCAGCTTAGACCTGCTTCCCACAGGGAGTGGACCTAAACCGGCAGTTGGGCATCCTTAGTGCTGCCACAGAGGCAGGAGAGGCTCCTGCCACTGTTGTGCTCTCCAGCCATGAGCCTGGTTTCTGGCTGAGTGGCGCTCCCCCTGTGGGACCACACTGACCACCAGGGGGCAGCTCCTGCATTGAGTGTCTGCCCCTTGGTGGTCAGCTTGCGTCATAGTGACCAGTCGTCTGCCATTCGGTCAATTTGCATATTAGCCTTTTATTATATAGGATACGATGGTACTTGTTAGAAATGGAAATTCCTGGGCCCTACTCAGAAACTCTGGTGTCTGTTTTAATAAGCTCTTTCTGTGATTCTTTTGGTTTTTTTTTAAATATATTTTATTGATTTTTTACAGAAAGGGAGGGAGAGTGATAGAGAGTTAGAAACATCGATGAGAGAGAAACATCGATCAGCTGCCCCCTGCACACTCCCCACCGGGGTTGTGTCTGCAACCAAGGTACATGCCCTTGACTGGAATCGAACCTGGGACCCTTGAGTCCGCAGGCCGACGCTCTATCCACTGAGCCAAACCAGTTAGGGCTCTTTCTGTGATTCTGATGCATGCTCACATTTGGAAACCATTGGCCTATAGCATTGTGGAGGGGTGAACTCTGCTATATTTGGCTATCATATACTACATTTATATTTACTTTTAATATTCCAAACTCAGATTATTTGTGTTTCTTGTGTTTAGACTCAAGGTTTTGCATAACATGTGACTTCTTCTCCAATATGCAATAGAAAGCTGCTAAATCACTTGCCAAACTTTAATAATATTTAGAGTTCTCCAAATTGTAGCTTGAAGAAAAACTAGATCAATAATTGTTCAATCCACAGTTGTAGATAGTAAAGTAACTTGGGTTAGCAGAATTTAATAATAATTTACTGTTTACTAAGTGCCAGGCACTATTTTAGCCACTTTACATGACTTCATGACACAGATACTGTTATCCTTATTTTGCAGATGAGGTGCAAGGAGGTGAGTACTCTCTCAGGGTCATCCACCAGGGGGTGGTGGCACTAGAATGGGAACAGAGATAGCCTCTCTCCAAAGCCTGTGCTATGCTGCCATCCTACAGTGTGTATGGCTTGGAAGCACCATAATAATAATAGCTATCTTTTATTGAGCCATTACTGTGTCAGGCACTGTACTAAGCTGCAATATCCCCATTATTTCATTTAAATCTCACAGTAAACCTATGGTTAGTCGTTAAATGCCCCCCCCCCCCCTTTATACATGAAGAAATTGAGCCCTAATGGTAAAATAAATTTCCCATGTCAGAATGCTTGTAAGAAGTAACGGACTTGAAGCTCTTATTAAAATAATTATTGGGCTTCTAACTTATAGGGAAGAGCTAATATAGCGCAGTGGCTAAGGATACAAGTATTGCAATAGGAAAGCCTGGATTCAAGTGCCATCTCTGCCACTTGAGCTCTCCCTTGGGCAAATTAATCTCATCTTTCCCATTTGAAGTCAGATAATATATTTTTTTCCTATAAAGTTGGGAGGATTAAGTGAAACACACACACACACACACACACACACACACACACACACACGACTTAACTCACAACAAATGTTCAGAAATGATAACTGCTAGGTTGTAGTGTATAAATAAATATACCATTTTCTCTGTTTCTGGATTTTTAAAGACATTCTGTAGTGAATTGTTTTTCTCTGATTTAGCAATTGGACTTGACCGGAATCGAACCTGGGACCCTTGAGTCCGCAGGCCGACGCTCCATCCACTGAGCCAAACCGGTTAGGGCTGTTTCTGGATTTTTAAAGACATTCTGTAGTGAATTGTTTTTCTCTGATTTAGCAATTGGACCCAGTACTTTTAATTTCAGGGTATTTCACCTGAAAAGATGTTTGGAGGATGGAAGAAAACGTTGAACATGTTATTTGAAAATGTAACTAACATGCTCTCTAAAAATAATTTTATCGTATGTTCTCTGAATTTTCATACACTTTGGATACACTGCTTAATAATAGCAAGAATAGGTCTTTTTTTCTTTTTATACTCAAGAATACTTTCTAAAGAGAACACTTGAATGTTACCAATAAATGCATGGTATAAAGTTTTTGGAAAGTTGTTATGTAACATAATGGAAACCAATAAACAAAATGAAATACAGCCATATTTTTCTTGTCAATTTTATTGAGAAGTAATTTATATATAGTAAACTACATCCATTTAAAGACAATTCATTGGCTTTTGATAGTTGTAAAAATACACAAAACTATCATCACAGTTAAGACACATTTCTATCATCTCCAAAAGATTTCATCTCTGCAGTGTATCCCTCCCTTTGCTCCAGCCCTGGGCAACCACTGATTTACTTTTGGTCATCATAGATTTGTTTGCATTTTATATAAAGGGAATCATACACTATGTACTATTTTGTGTCTGTCTTCTTCCACTATAATTGAGATTCACCTATAAAGTTGGGTGTATCAGTTTCTTCCTTTTTTTCTGAGTTTTTGTTTATCTTGGGTAAAGACCTTGGACATGAAATGGCATGGTATATGTTTAACTTTTAAAGAAACTGCCAGTTTTCCAAAGTGTTGTGCCATTTACCTTCCCAACAGCAGTGCATGAGAGTCCTGCTTGCTCCATGTCCTTCCACATTTGGAGCTGGCCGTTTAAAAAATTTCACCCATCCCAGTGAGTGGGGGGTGTGACTGTGGTGTGCATCTCCCAGAGGCCTCCTGTTAAGCATCTTTCCATGTGTTTACTGATCACTCATATATCTTATGTGAAGCATGCAAAGTCCCTTGCCCATTAAAAAAAGTTTGGCAGTTTTTTCTTATTGAATTATGAACTATGTTTTCTGGATACAGAGTTCTTTGTCACATATCATTGCCATGTTGTCACCATTTTAAAATGTGTTGTAATCAATAACATGAGGTATTTAAAAATCAGTTCCAGCTCTGGTTGTACCACAAAGCACTTGAAGAGCAAACTGCTCAACCGCCCAGCGTCCTGCAACCAAGGAGCCCACAACATACAATCTTATGTGCTCTTAAAGGCCAACAGAGATAACATAGTGTAAAATAAGTAGTTAAATAAACAAAACAAAAAAGCCTCCCGAAGTATCTTTGCTGATGATAGTGTACCATCAGGGATCTTTTGGGACATTCTGTATTACTAGCAGGAACTTCAAAAGTATTCAAAAGTCATGCTGCTTACCAAACCATCCGTAGGATAATTATAATAATTATGTAAATGATATAATAATAAGCTGGTAGAACGCTGGGCTTTTCTGTTTGGCCTTGAACCTGAGCCACAGACCATGAAATTGCCGGGACCAAAAGGCGAGTGAGACTGCCGGTCCCAGGGACACCACAGCCGAATTTCCCCAAAGAAAGTCGCCTCCGTAGCGCATGCGCTTCAAGGCCGCTCCAGTTACCGCTTCCGTTGCCGCGGTAACTGCAGTAAACGGAGACCTTGGGCAGCTGCTGTGACTAAGCCAGTGCGGTCGGTGGGCGGTGGGTGCCTCAGGTAAGTTTGGACGCCAACTGCTGGGCAGTTCCCACAACTCCCCCCACACCCTCAAATCTGTTAGCGAGTTAGGGAGCAGTGAACCCCACTTGGATTTCCCTCAGACTGAACCACTGTCCCCTAGACTTTCCCTCGTCCTCCCTCCGGATCAGTTTGACAAACTTTTGAAGTGACTGGCCTTGGCAGGCACGGAGCTAGACCCTGGATACAAAGCGGACACCGTTCCTGCCTGTATGGAGCTCATCCTCCGGCAGGGACAGCAGGAGTCCCAGGTAGACCCGGCTGAGAAACAGGGAGTCGGGTGGGCAAGTGCCTGGGTTCCAGGTCAAGCAGCCGCCCCACCCCACCCACACTTGGCTGTGGGACACTTGGCAAGTTGAGCCTCTGCCCTTCGGTTTTCTTATCTCTGAAAAGGAAGATGGTAATGATAATTTCATGGGGTTCTTGTTACAGTTAAATTGGATAATGCAGGTAAAGTGTGTAGCCCATGAGTCACACATAGTCAGTGCACAATTAATACTTTTTTCATTCTAATAGATACAGTGGTATAAAAGTAGTCAGTGTATCCAGTCAGTTGTGATTTGTTCCAGGTGGCCATGGACTAAAACTTTTGAGGAGAGATTAGGGTGGGGGGAGTGACAAGAGAGGAGCTATATAATCCTAAAATGAAAGGTCTTCATGCCATGCCAAAGAGTCTGAGTCTTTATTCTATGGCAATGGGGAGCTAAAGGCTTTATATACAAAGAGTGGTACATTAAAAGCTGTGCTTTAGAAATACAGGAGGCAGTATAGGGAATGGACTGGCGGTGGGAGAGACAAGGATGCAGCTGTGGTAGGGTAGAGCTGAGACACGATGAGGACCAGAACTAGGGTGGAAATACATTCTAAAGGCTAAAAAACTGCACACTTGGCGACAGGACTTGCAAACCAATTGCATGCGCTGGGTGAGAGGGAAGGATTCAAAGAGTAACCGCTCTGCTTTTTCACCTTAAAATGCACCTGACTCAGAGTCATTTTGAGAAATAGATGAAACAGGATGCGTAGAATCCTTAGAACTATGCTCGATACATGGAAAACATTAAAAAAACAAAACAAACGAGCTATTATCCTTTCCATGGTTGTATTATCCTTTGTAAACGCTGAGTGTTTGTTTTTATGCAACAATCTCTATGAGTTTTAGCATGACCATCTCCAGCATACTGCTGAGCTTGTGAGAATGCACTCTAGTGAATGAATACAAGCAATGTCACCTTGAGGAACCTTTCGTCTGGCTCCCAAATAACTTCCTTCTAGCAGCATGCCCCTCTGCATCACTGCACTATGATTCTCTTTTTCTTTACACTTCCTCAGGGTCGACTCAAAACTTGACATTCTACCTAATTGAGTTGGTTAGCAGAATTCGCTAAAGGCTGGACTAATGAGCCTGAATCTAATGAAAGTAGATTTAAGATAGTTTTGCAAATAGACTCCCAAACCCAGCTGGCTCAGTTGTATAAGACAGGACTTGGCTAAGAACACAAAAAATAAGGTTTAGTCATTCTAGTTGGTTACAAACTGACTATGATGAGTCTCTATATGAGGATGTGTTGGGAATTAACTTCCCGAGCCATCAAGATTCTGAAAAGAGTTAAAGCCACACTAGTGAGGAATAATTTAAAGAATTGGGATGCTGTAGTTGGGAAAAGAGAGGGTCTGGGGAGAAAAGTGAACCAGTTACACTGATTTGAATGGCTATAACACACAGGAAAACTTGTTCTCCGTCCCCAGAAGAATAAGGACCAATAGATTCAAGTTGCAGGGAGGAAGATTTCAGGTTAATATAAAATGAACTGATGAAGAACTAGAGCTGAGCATTGGCAAGATGTGCACGCCCTCTTACCTGAAATGTTGAAGTGGAAGCTGATGGCTCTTCCCTTCATTTGTTCATTTTTTCAGGAATTAGTACATTCATCCGTTCAGCCATTTTACCTACCGAGTGCCTATGTGCCGGGCACTGTTCTTAGAGCTTTACTGTATTAACTCGACATCTCAGAGCAACCTTAGGGAGCAGGTACTGCACTTTATGGAGGAGAATACTGAGGCACAGAGAAGTTAAATACTTAATACCTCACAACTATTAAGAGGAGAGCTGCTGGAAGCCGGTCCATCCTTGCTGCTTGACACAGTCGCTGCAGGGAAGAAACATCTGCACAGCATATGTTTCAAGGGACCTGGCGTATATGGCATACTGTTCTTAATATGTTTGCTCCCCTTCTTAGCGCTATGTGTTTTAAACAAG